ATAAAGTATCAACTTAGTCAAAACGCTAAAAGCTAGCTCAAAAGTTATTGTCGAGTAAAGCCTTCGATATAAATTTAATCGACTCCTTTCTAATGAATCAAGCGACTCATATTGTTTATACATGGAATGAATTCAAGTTAGTTTCACATATTATGAATTGAAATTAATAGGTCATTATCATTAGGCAATCATATACATTCCAAAACAAACAGTTGAGGTTTATAACTGAGAATTAGTTTCTTATTAGAAATATCATTATTTTACAATCTTAAAGGAAATTCCTTTTTTATATTATTGAATTGTTTGTTTTCATCATTTAATGTCATCTTTTACCTTCTGTTTTTATCGTTTAATTTCACCTTTTCCAATCTTTTTTTCCAATTCCAATTGCAATTTCATTCCACTGAGACTACAACTTTGAGAGAGACTGCTAGGTATGTTGAGGGGGACCGAAAATATTGGTGAAGACACCAAAAGAGATGGGAATGAACAATAATAATCTTAACATTGATTTCGAAGTTGCCAAATTCTAAGTCCTTGTTGCATCCTATAATAGAATATAAGTCCTAAAGATTGAAGTTTTAATAGATGCCTAAACGGCCATTGCCCACTAACTGTTTAAAAAGATGCCAATGAGAATATTTTGTATGTTTATTTGAAAGGTAATACTATGTTTTTTATGTTATTTAATTATTTATCTTTTGTTTTGCTCTCGAAATAAAATATCATTTAAGAATTAATTATTTATTCAAAAAATTAATTATCGATTCAAGTACATTTCTCCATTTATTATATACATATATCTTAGGCAACAAATTCTTTTGAGCTGGATTTATAGCATCAAAACCAATTATTGAGAAATTCACAAAGGTAATAAATGGACGTTCCTAAAAATATTGTTAAAAAATTTGTATATTTTTTTTAATTTTAATAAAAAGGAAAAAGGTTCAACTTGTCCCTTTAACTTGAGTCAGATGTTCAAATTTTAACTTTTTGATTAATTTACTCTACAATTTAGCAAAAGAGGCTCAATTTGCTCATTATTTGGGTTGGTTAACGCGCGTGGTCCTATGGAAAGGACATAAGCGAGTAAGACCTTATTTGCAGCATGAATTGTACTATGATACAAGCATTTCATCTAACACTAACCCATGTTACATTTACTGGATTTTCCACTTCCATTGGAATAGATTATGTCTTTTCGCATTCTCTTATTTCAATATTTTTTACCTAATGAAACTTGCATCAGGCAATGAAAATCAGAACAAAAATTTTCTACTAGATTCACAAATGATAGTGCATTTGAGAACTCGAACCTCTGAGCTTGTTCTCTGCAAAGATAAAGAGATATAGAAGAATGGGATAGTATGATGATTCCATTTAGGTGAATTCAAAACTGAAAACAGAAAACATTTTTATGAGATTTTTTATGTTAAAAGATTTATCACACACAATTTCACTTATGAGATCCTACTTATGTAAGGAAGATAATAAGTTGTAATATATGCAACAATTACATTTTAGATGTGTCAATCTCTGAATTCACAACACGCCCAAATACCAAGTATTGAGATTTTGTGTGTAGAGATTTCAAATTCCAACATTATCAAGATAAATTAGGATAACAGTCCAAGCTCTAGGGAAGAAATCTAATCAAGCGAGAATAATAATTTTTTTATTCATTAGGGGCCTAAATTCCTTTTTATCTTAGTAATTTTCATATCTATGTAATTATCTTTATGCTCATAGAAAGGGAAATAATTATCTTTAAGAACTATTTCTACTTTTCTTTTCCAAAAAATGTGTATAGGTATTATCCTCCTCCATTTTTAGTCTCTTGCTCTCATAAGCCTTTCCAGCAAAAAGCATCTAGCAACAACTTCATGGAAAAGCATATGGAATGGACAATAGAGTTTTACAAGGCGTTTTTAAACTGTACTTGTAAAATTACAAAATGATCAACTGGTTAGAAACATAATACTCTTCCAACTAACCGTTACAGTCAATATATACTCTTCCAACTAACCGTTACAGTCAATATATATAATATATATATATATATATATATATAATATATATATATATATGTTACTTCATTTAATATATATATGTTACTTCATTTATCTTTCATCGACCATGCGTGCACCACACTTCATGATCAACCTAAACAATAAGCAAATCGAACCATTTTTGCTAAGTTGTGGAGTAAATTAATCAAAAAGTTAATTTTTGGGTATTTGAACATTTGACTCAAGTTAAAGGGGTAAATTGAACATTTTTCCTAATAAAAATATTTTCTTATTTAAATTTATTAGTTTTCTTGCTTATGTTTCTTTTCATTAAAAATGATATTAACACCTCTCCACTATTTTTTTTAAAAAACTTTTAATGCATAATAAAAAATGAAAATCCAAATTGATTATTTTATAAGTAGAAAATAAATCTATAGACCAAAATATGTGAGAGTATAAAAAAATAATAATAAATGTAAAGTGTTCATACATCCTGGTGAATGTAAATTTTATTTTCTTTATGAGAGTAATATAATGAGAACCAACAATAATGCTTTGTTAATGGGCTTTATGCTATCAGTTATTATAAGAGTCGCATTCAAAGCTAAAGGCAATTTGATTTCAATGGCGATGATTTTTTTTTTTTCCTCACAGCTTATGTTTAACTAACTTTAAAATTTAAATATTAAATTGTAATTTGATCCAAGATTTTAAATCTGATTGAATATTTTAAAAAAAAAACATAGCCAAATTTAACTTTTATGATAGATTAGTAGAAATTAGGCCAAATGCATATTTTAGATCCTGTACTTTTTAAAAAAAATCTTGTGACCTCTTGTACTTTATGGGAGACCCATTAGGTACCTTTATTTTATTTTTTGTATGTAATAAGTACCTCGCCATGCTGGAAGTGGTGTGTGAATATCCACGCGAGTTTAAAAGGAGTGAAAGTTTGTTTCATTGCCATGTTGGCACCTAGATCTATATAGTTTCTCCTGCTCACGTGAAGGGAGCTTAAGATCTATAGATCTATCCAAAGTACAAACACTTTCATCACTTTTCCATGTTTCCAAAAATAATAACCATCAGAAATCATCCATTGGAAAAGACGTGTGGTGTGCATGGCAGCAAATGCTTACCAAAACCATAGAAACGTCGTCCCTCGCTATCTTTTCGTTGATTCTTCCTTTGTTAATCCTTTCTCTAGGATTGTAGACCCATCAGTTGAAACCCTTAGTGATTTCTCCTCTTGGTCTTGGCTTTGTTTTTAGTCTTTCTTTCTTTATTCTGATGGAGGAGCTTTTTTCTAACTAGTACCGTCTGTTGAAGAGGAAGAAAAGAGGAAAAATGTCATTTTAAAACTCAAGAAGGTAATCTTTTGGTTTCTTTAATTTTTTTTATTGTTATAGCGTAGTCAAAAATTATTTCCTTGTAGGAAGAGGACTGCCAGTGTCATTAGTTTTTTTGCCATGTCGTTAGCTTTTTTGCCACATCATTTTGTTTACACTTCACGCTCTTAGTTTGCTCAATCAAGGTACTTATTAAATATAAAAAAGAAAATAGAGGTAACTAATGGGGCTCCCGCAAAGTGCAGAGGGCTGCAAGATTTTTTTGGAAAAATACAGGGTCCAAAATATGCATTTGGTAGAAGAAATTATGAAAAATAGCATGTGGCTATCTAACAATAAAGAGTGTATATAATCAATTATTGTTAACATGTCAATTAAATCTTTTAAAATTAATTCATTTAGAAAAGAGAATTTGTAAGACTTCAAGAGCATTTATCACATTTCAACTTTACAAATGAGAGTCAAAATCATGCAGATAAAAGTTAAGGTATTAACTTATAGTTCTAATGATGATTATGAGTGAACTAATTAAAAGTCCATTTGTGAATTTTATCATTTCTTTCTTTTAATTTTTTGTGTATAAAAAGCATGGTTCAAAAAATCGGACCGAATTGGCCGGTTTGATTAGTTTAACCGGAAATCAGATAGTGGTCCAGTCTGAATTACATAGAAAAACGGGAAACTTTAAAAACCGGCCTAAATAAGATGAAATTCGGTTAGAAACCAGTGAACCAAATTGATTAAAAATTGGTTCGATTCAAAATCTAGGTTTTTTATCAAATTGTGAGTGTTTTTAAAATTGTGGGCCTCTTAATATATTTATTAAATATTAATATTTTATTTTATTGTAATTAATTCTTTTTTTAGTATTAAATTATGTCATATTTTATTCTTTTTGTTTAAAATTATTTACTAACTTTTTAATGCTTTTTATAAAAGCAATGTTTTTTTTTATTTGATATTAAAGTTTTTTCCATATACTTTCAATTTTATTTAATAAATATATTTAAAAATGTTATATATAAAAATTCAGTTGAACTCTTCGGCTCAATGAATCCTTACCTTTAATCAGTGAAGTCTGTTATTAAAGAAAACTACAATCGAGATCTATAAGTATATGTAAATATATGTAATTGTGAGGTTATTTACGCAATATCAAAGTGACAACTAATCTTTAGTTAGTCAATCAATGTAAAAACGCTTAGCATTAATTTTCCATTATTCATTATGTTATTTTTCCTTTTCTGAGTTCAATATTCGAAACACTTTTTCTAATATATCACTAAAATATAATTTACCATTGATTTAACTTATTCTAAAGAACAAAATAATCTTAACAAAGCAATTGTTCTCCTTATATGAATCTTAACAAAGCAATTGTTCATCATTTATTACTCATTTTCATGTGGAGAACGGTTTCAACAATCCCTTCATTCACTGTGATGCTTCCTTTAAAAAACAAACAGACAAATGAATAAAATAGTATTCAATTTACTAAACTGTCAAAGTTTAGGGGCAAAAATGGGATTTTATCCGTGGGATTCCAAGCGCGGTTGCTAACTTCATCCAATTGCTACCTTCCACGCGTCCATTTCACCTGTCGTCCACATCAACGTGCCGGCAGACAGTTCATTCAGACCTTCCCTTCTAACCTCCACAGCTCAAAACCCAAAAAACAAACCACACCCCAATAATCATTACGTCTTTTTCTTTCTCTCTCTTTAACCCGTCAGAATTCTCACGCCTGTTCATTCGTTTCTTTAACCCTAATTGAACGTTTTACGATTCCTTTGCTTCTCTGATCCTTTGTATCCAACACCCGCTTTCCATTCCTTTCTCGTTGATTTTCTCGAGAAAGTATCTAGGAGGTTGGAGATCGATTTTCGACACTTGATAATTTTATTGTAGCTTTTTTAGTTAATTATTATATAATAATATTAATATAGGTATGAGCTTTCAAGATCTCGAGGCCGGACGACCTTTGGCGGCTTCAAGGAGAGACCTGATCAACGGCAAGAAAGATGCCACGCAATCTGTTGTTTCTGGAATCTTCCAGATAACCACCGCCGTTTCCACGTTTCAGCGACTCGTTAATACCCTTGGTACTCCCAAGGATACCCCTGAGCTCCGGGAGAAGTTGTGAGTTTAATTCATTTTGTTGGTTTGTCGTTTTGATGATTTATTTTGCTTGTAATGTCGTTGAAATTGTTCAATTTGGATATGGTGGATTGGTTTTATTGAATTGCTTAATTGTTAAAAATTTCAATTTGTCATGGTATTGATGATTTGGGGAGTTTTCAGTTTCGAAACTGCACTGTCCTCTGTGTAATATTGTAGCTCTCTTCTCTCATAGAGCTGCAGAGAAAATATTTGTAGTTACCAATGATTCTGATTGTGGCTGTAATTATATTTGCATTGGCAAACCCATGCCCAAAATTAGATGGCTTTTAGGATTTGCTTGTAGAAAGAAGTGTTGACATTTTGGAGGTTTTATTCATAATTGGCGCCAAACAATATGTTACAAATGAAAAAGAAACATTACGATTCCTTTTTATATGTGATTGCCAGTGTTATTCCTGTGTAATGATAAGAGACTGCTACTTTGAGCTTTTATATGCACTGAATGAAGCAAGCAGAAAATAAGTGATGATGTAGTTGTATATCCTCCATAGGTGTCTTGGTAGCTATCAGCCTTTTTAATATTGTGTTTGGTTAGCTAGCTAGTTCTGTTTTATTTTTGAATTGAACGGTTTTGTGCTTTATAGCACATTATTGATTAACTTGAAACTAGATGTAGGCCACATGGTGTTGGCGATTACTAATTGGCCATTTGCTTGCCTTCTCCCTTGTTCCCTTATTGATTGGTCATGTAAATACATATTCTCTGTGGACCTTAGACTGAAATTTTTTTTTTCTGGCATTTCAGGCATAAGACAAGGCTACATACAGGTCAGTTGGTGAAGGATACTTCAGCAAAACTTAAGCAAGCCAGTGAAATAGATCATCATGCTGGAGTTAGCGTAAGTTTGCTCTTGTCCGTACCATTTATATTAGTAGTCAATTTTGCAGTGACCTGTCTTAAATAACTCCTTCCATCCCATAATAATGGTCTAGTTTGACTCTGGCACATAGATTAAGAAGAGTCTTTTCCATGGAGTAATTTTTGTTAGTTTACCAATTTTCTTCTTTAATGGGAAGGGGCACAGAAATCAATGAGTCATTATAGGGTATTATTGACAAAATAACCTTTAAAAATAACCTTTGGACTGGTTGATTTTAACTAAAATTGGAAAGTGGACAATTAATTTAGGATATTCCTTATTAGTAATGTGGACTATTATTTTGTGAAGAGGGAGCATAAATTTCCAACATTTTCTAGTGTTGATTGATATGCTTGTTAGATTTCTTTTTGTTCAATTGCTTACTTTTGCATTGTGGATGTGCGTGTTAGACTTACCTTGTTGGATAATTAGTATCTTACATTCGTCTCTTTCCTTGAATGTTACTGCAGCAAAGCAAAAAAATTGCTGATGCTAAACTTGCAAAAGATTTTCAAGCAGTTCTAAAAGAATTTCAAAAGGCTCAACGGCTTGCAGCAGAGAGGGAAACGGCATATACCCCTTTTATTCCCCAGGCTGTTCTTCCTTCAAGGTGATTGTTCTCAAACTTCAAATTGTACAGTTAAATTTCAGAGCTCCTTCACATGTTCGTCAAAAGCAAATTTATAATTTTTCATTAATGAAGTTACTTAAAAAATGATGTTGGAGCAATTAATAATTGTTCAATATACTGGTTGCACATTCACCTTATCATGCCCTAACCAGCCATCTGTGCTGCGAATTGCCAGACAATCCTTAATGATAGACAACACACAAATACTTAATTTAGTAATAATGAATTAAACACACTTGGTAAAGTCCCTTTCCCCCACCCCTCCCATTTTACACACAGTATAAACACATTACAAAATAATACTATTTGTATGAGGTCATGGTATTAGCAATTCGTAAATGAGTTTGTGATGAACTGGGGTATTAAATTGGCTGGCTGTTTTATAATATCATCAGTTACTTAAATTGATAGTGAAATATCAAGCAGGATTGCTATTTAATGCAATTAAGTGGAATGAAATTGCTTATTGATGTACATAAAATTCACATAATTGTTTGTCCTTTAGCCTTTATTTGGGAAGGGTGGAAAGCCTAGGGGATGAAATGGAAGGGAGTGAAACGGGAGTGGGGAGTGGACTTTACTTCTGTTTGGCGGACTTATGGAATTGAATATGCACTATGAACTAATCATTCCAGCACACAAAAAATTCACTCTCCAAAGCAGGAGAAAAGGTAATTTTGTGCCTCAAATTACTTTCTTAACCCTTTATGTGGAAGATTCTTTCTACTTTTATCCATTTACCGATATCAGTTATGTGAAGGATAGAATTGTAAGTATTATTATTCTTTCAATTCAGAAGGGAAAATTCCTTTTTCCACTCATAAGTTATTCCCTTCCCAATCAGTTTGCTTTTACTATTTTCGATCTCCACCTTTTATTTCCTCATCCCAATAGTTTTTTCAAATGTATTATTTAAGTCTGTAAATGGACTTTGAATAAATTCCAAAAATTTGTAAATCTTTAACTTAAAAAACTTATAATGACACTTGCACAACTATGAGTAAGATTTTAATTTTTAGGTGATGTGTTTATTAGTAGAATCACAGTGTAATCAATAACATATTAACTATTATAATTAGGTATTTCATAAACAATACAACAACAACTATTAAGTCTTAATCCCAACTAGTTAGGTCGGATATATGAATCCTTTGTTTCATTCTGCTCTATTCGTAATCAAGTCCGCACTAATGTCAAGAAGGGCCTACTTAATAAAAGCAATATCAGTACTAGAATTAGCATGTCTTATGATTTTGTCCTTGCCATGATTTGGTCATCCCCTTTTGTCTGCAGATAAGTTTCCTTAGCATCTGTATTTTTGTGTACATTACAGTTTGCCTAATCACAAAAAATCTTAAACCTTTGCAGAAAATTGCCACTGTACCCAAATCTCTCGAACTGGGTTATTTTATGCTAACCTTTACCAGTAGTTACAATTGTACCCATTTTGAAAATTTTTGGGGTTTTTTGGTCATTAGGACATTGTAGTTTATAAGAATAATTGTACTCACATTACATCAACTAATTTTTTTGTTTGTTTATGATATCTGCAGCTACACAGCTAGCGAGTTAGACATAAGTGCTGATAGGAATCTAGAGCAACGTGCTCTCCTTGTGGAATCAAGACGGTGAGTGCTGCTTACTGTTATGTACTAATAATAGTATTAGGAACTATTCAATAGTTGCTTAGATTCTAAATCCTGGATTGCTTGTTGGTTTTCAAAAAGTTGTTAAGGTTGTGTTTACTTACAGAAAACAATTTTATGTTTTCTACGAAAATGGAAATTAAAAAACAGAAAACGGAAAATGCATTCACTTGGTAACAATAAAAAAGTTATATTTTAATTTAAAAACTTCACAAACATTATTCATAACTTTCATAATTAAAATAAAATATTATAAAATAATTTTAGAATTTTTTTTTTAAATTTTTTGAATTTTTATTATTGATTATTTATAATAATAATATCAATTTTTATCATTTTGTAAAATTTTGTAATAATAAAATTCCTTATTAAAGCATAATATAATTTTTTATATTATTTAAATATTTTTATAAAAAAATTATTTATATATATTATAACTTCAATTATGAAAATGTCATTTTATAAAAATGAAAAACAGTTGGAAAACATGTCTTTTGTTATAAAGGAAAATGATGAAAAACAACTTAAAACTGTTTTTCAAACATTAGTAAAATTTTGGAAAACTGGAAAATTATTTTCTAGTTTTCTAAATAGAAAACTGATTGGTTTGAACACAAAACTCTGTTTTCCAGTTTTCTTGAAAAACTTTTTGAGAAAATTACTCCAGTTTTTTACAAGTGAACACACCCCAAGTTCTTTTGTTTGCAACTTATTATTCCATCTTCAGATGAAAAATTCTCAGGGCCTCAGTGAGACAATTTATTTAGGGATTGTACAAGCATGTATGTAAATACTTGCTTGAAAGTTCCTAATAGGATCTGTAAATGTATAGCAAAGATTTGGGTTTAAGCATTGATTCATATTTTCTCCTCAGTATTAAAATGATGCTATATGATTCAACTAATCTTAGTTTAAGGTCATGGGTTCAAAACTGTTGAGAAATGGTGGGGCAGGAAACTATCTTGCACAGCTCTCTCACACAGAGAAACACAGGCTCTATAAAATGAAATTTAAAAGGCTAGCCACATTACAAACAGAACAGGTTCTGGAATTGAACCGGAGGCTGCCAATTTTCATTGGTTACTATAACTCTTATACAGGAGAGCTTACTCGGAATAGGCACAAAGGATGGCCTTAATACAGGCCCATACATATGCGACCACTTGTAACCATACAAAACAACTTAGCTTTTTCTAACTTATGAGTAAGCTAACTTTCTACCTAAACCCATGAACTAGCTTGCTCACATATTAACTAATCTGAATAAAAGTTTTGCTGCCAAAGGGATCACACCGAAAAAAACTGTTGTCACTGCTAAAAATGTCACTGCCTAAAAAATAAAAAACACAAAACTCAAACACAAAAATTCTCTTGCAATGTGAGGGGTATGTGTTATTCATCTAACCCTATCTGTCCTAGAGATTGCAATGGGAGAAACCTCATGCATTGGGAAACACTTTATTGAATATACTGTTTGGTAGATTTGTTTAATAGCTGATGCATTTAATTGATGGTTTGAATGAGTTTGTACAATTGTGATCATCTTTACAGTTCTTGAATTAAACATGAGTTTATATGTTGCATGATCAATATACACTTAGCATCAAGTGAATTTTGTTGCAGACAGGAGGTCCTGCTATTGGACAATGAGATTGCTTTTAATGAGGCAATCATTGAGGAAAGAGAGCAGGGAATACAAGAAATTCAGCAGCAAATTGGAGAGGTGAATGAAATTTTTAAAGATCTTGCTGTCCTCGTTCATGAGCAAGGAACTATGATTGGTAATTCCATTCTCTCTCTTTTTTTTTTTTTTTTTTAGAAATTCAGCCAGCAAATTGGAGAGGTGAATGAAATTTTTAAAGATCTTGCTGGTCCTCGTTATGAGCAAGGAACTATGATTGGTAATTCCATTCTCTCTCTTTTTTTTTTTTTTTTTTTTTGCTTTTTTTTTTTTTTTTTGGTTGAACTCTGTTTTTATTTACGGCTTAATCTTTTTGGGTAATTTCTTTTTCCCTGCTCTAACTTCCCCTTACTCTCTTTTCTTGTATATTGCAGATGATATTGGCACCCATATTGAAAATGCACAAGCTGCTACTGCGCAAGGGAAAACACATCTTGCGAAAGCAGCAAAGACACAAAGATCAAATTCATCTCTGGTAACTTGGACTTCTCTTTTCTTTCTAAAATAACTGTTGACATTCTTTATTTTTCTAAAGATGAGCATATGTTATTCTTTATTCAAGTATCGGAGCTTCTTTCTTTGGTAAAGTTAATTTGTTTTGACTACATTTGTGTATATCATGTCTTTCTCACCTTTTGGGCTGTAGATGAGCCAATCTGCTCGTGACCTACTCAAGGGAGGCTTGGCCCAGCTTGGAAAAAGCTCTTTCAATAAGCTTAATGAGCTGGGCTCGAGCTTGGCTCATTAGTTCGCGAGCTGGCTCGTGAGGCAGCCCTTAAGTTTTAAAAGTCCATTTGTTTGAAAGGCCAATATTCGAAAAGATTATTGAAAGTCCATTTATATTACAAAGCCCATTTATTTTTTTCTCCTTTTTCATTTTCATTTGTGAAACACTTAATCTTTTTCATCTCATTCTCTAAGCCTAGCTGTGCCAACCACCTCTTATCAATAAAAACAATAACCTCTCAAAGTTACAGAAAAAACAAAGTCAGCCTCTTACTTATTTATTCATGTTGAACAAAACCTCCATGGCCAAGCGTCTCACAAACCACTGTCATTACAGCTGGCTCATTCTCATATTGAACGAACCAAATCAACCATCTCTCAATTCCACAGCTTTGTCATCCTGTCTCTCTCTTTTCAATTTTTTTTTAATCTTGACTCGTCTTCTGCAAATGGATCGTTTTAATTTGTTTTGTGAAGTAATATACTATATGCTCTTTTTTTGACAGATTTTATAAATTCCTTTTAAATTACTTGTTTTATGTTTATCTTGAATTAATTGACTTTTAAATTGAATTTTTTAAGTTATGTTTCAATTAATTCAGTGGATGTTGCGAGATTGTTCTTCTTCTTTGAATTAATAGTTATGCACTTTTGTTTTGAGTATGTTTTTGCTGGTGTGGAAGTAAAGATTGGTTGTTGATTGCATTTGATTGGTCTGTCATTAAGGATTTGGATTTTTAGCTCTTGGATTAACAAGCTGAGCTCAAGCTTGGTTTTTCAAGCTCGAATAGAGATTGACTATGTCCTTGATAAGTTGAGGTTGAGCTTGGCTCACCTTGACTTGTGTTGAACACACTTTGTGATTTCTAGAATTACATTTCTGATTTAAGTGTTTATTTTTCTAATGCAGGCCTGCCTGTTGTTGGTAATTTTTGGGATAGTACTTCTCATCGTTATTGTAATACTTACAGCATAACTGAAGGTTTTCTTGATTCAATGGCTGACCATTCCAAGAGCTGCTGGGAGACATTATAAGGGTCTCTTTGCTAATTTATATTGGTTATGTTATTTTGATTGACTAGAGTCTCTCACTGCTGGTCGGGGGGTGGTGTATATTGTTTGGCATATTTACATAGGGTGATATTCAGTTGTTTTATTTGGATGGTGGGTTGTTTGTTCTCTTGGGTTTTCGAGTTCGAGGGTGTGCAATAGCTTGTGTGATTGTTTGTCTTTTTTTCGATCTCTTATAGTAATAAATAAAATATTTATTCTTTGCTTTGTCATCCCTTTCTCTTTGCGCATAATTGCAACTGCTCCCCTATTTTGTTTTGTTGGTGTGAGCAAAAATCAACCTAGGGGGCTGGCATTGGCATATGCTCCTATTTTTCTTCGTATGGTAGATCTTGGGATAATGGGTGTAGCCTAATTTGAGTAGTGGGTTTATAATTTTTTGTTTCTAGTGCATTATAAATGAAAAGAAAGTGAAAAACCAGGGGGAAAAGTGGCAACCTGGAATATTGTAGGCCTTTTAGTAACAAAATTTATATAGATTGTACTATTATCTATATTATATATAAATAAAAGTGGGAATGACGGGCAATAATTAAATTTTTTATATTATTGTTGTAAAATTTAAAATACACTAAAATAATTTTAATTATAGTCACTTAAAAAATTTTAACAAGAATATATATATATATATATATATGTGTGTGTGTGTGTGTGTGTGTGATCTCTTTATAATTTGATTGGATAATTTTTAAACTTTTTTTAGTATAACATTCGAAAATTTAAAATGTAATCATTATTATCTTATTATGTTTTATTTCAATCATTATTATCTTATTATGTTTTTTATTTTCAATAAATAAATTAATAATAATAGTTTAAATAAATTTATTATTATTAATAATTAATATTATTCTTTATTTTTTATTATTTTTATTTTTATTTTTATTTACTATTGTTGTATTATCTTTAACATTATTATTTTAAATAAATGTGTAAATACGAGGCATTTGAAAATTTTTATTTTTTTATTTTGAATTTATTTTAAATAAAGATATTTAGATAATTAAGATTTTGATTTAAAAAGGGTATGGTTAAAATTTTTTTAATTGCAAATTGCACCCTAATTTGGTGGGCAAAAAATAAGATAAAAAAATATTATTTTTAAACATCTCAAATTTAATTAATTATATTGATATCTTATTTAATCCAAATTATATTCTTTCTATTAAGGAATATAATTTTATTAATAAATTTTTAAAATGATTTTATGATTTTGATTGGATAGAAAAAATAAAAATAAAAATTATTATTATTATTTTATATTATTTATAACCATATTTAATTGATTATTAGATTAGTTTTATCTTATTCTTTATTGTTTAAAGTTATATTCTATTTATTAAGAGGAATATAGAATAAAGGACTAGGTTTAAAATATGTAAATTAATATTTAAAAAACTAAAATTAAAAGCATATGATGAAGATTTTATAAATTAATTCTACGCGTACTTAGGACAAAAAAATAAAAAGCAAACCTAGCCATGTTAACATATTTAAATTGCTATTTTAAAGAGAAAAATAAAATATATCAATTTTTTTGAATGAAGAATATTACAATACCAAAACATTATAATTTTAAAAAAAAATATATATTTTTACTTGTATAATTTTTTAAAAATTATTAAATTTTATTAGGAATTCTAATAGAATTTATACTTAATTATATGAATAAAAAAAGCCTAAAACAAGATATTTTAAAAAATGAGGCATATAACTAGTATACGTTCACATAATCGGTTATCGGGCATGTTCAATTTAAAAAGTTATAAATATTTAATTTGATTTATTAGATTAGTTTCTTATTCTATTGTTAAAGTATATTTATTTATTAAAAGAGAATATAGTAAAGTTGCTAGTAAAATATGTAAATTAATTATAAAACGTAAAATAAAAGCTATATGATGATTTTTATAAATTAATTTGGTACTTAGACAAAAAATAAAAGCAACTAGCATGTTAACATATTTAAATTGCTATTTTAAAAGAGAAATAAATATATCAATTTTTTTGAATGAGATATTACAATACAAAACATATAATTAAAAAAATATATATTTTACTGTATATTTAAAAATTATTAAATTTATTAGAATCTAAATAAGAATTTATACTTAATTATATGAATAAAAAAGCTAAACAAGTATAAAAAATGAGCATATAACTAGTATAGTCAACGTGTATCGCATGTCATAAAAAGAACTAGTATATATAAAAAAAAATATATAAATTTCACAATTAAAGTAGTGGGTTGTGTGTTTTTTTTAAAAATTTTTTTTTTTATTAAATACATGTATCTGCTGGAGGCATGGTTGCTCTGTTTTTGGTTTGAGGCTTTCACAGTCCTGGAGTTGAAGTAGTCCCTCCTAAAAATAGAAGATTTGACCTCACCTTCTGGGATCTCCCTCTCTTGCATTTGCCAAGTTGGGAGTTTATTTATTCGTACAATTTTAGTACAATTTGCCTTAATAGACCATTTTTTTTGAAGAGTTCGAGAAAATTGAATACAAAGGGGGCACTCGAGCTTATATCCACCAAACCATAGCCGCCGGGCAATGCAAATTCTTCAGGTGGTTCGTCGAGTCCATTTCTACAGAGAACTATCTGCACCAGACTTAAAAGTCGGCCCTTTTGGTGTAAAAATAGCTCATTTGTGCAGATCAAATAATACGTCCTTTAATATAGGAATGGAAACAAGCTGCTTGCTTTGCATTTCAAAAAATAAGCATAAAAATAAGTGTAAAAATCAAGATATCTCCAAGAAAATAAGTGCAAGAAACATCACTTCCTTCACAAGTCAACCCATGAATGAAAACTATGATAATTTAAATGATTTTGCAAAATTGATGTCCGAATATGAAAGGGATGTTGCAAGAATTATGAGAGTTGATATAAAGGCTGTAACAAAAGTAACAGCAGATACAATAGCGGCATGTGCTCTTGTACCACAAGGTATTCTCCACAAAATATCACCCGCTTTCGATTCAGCAAAGTCACTGCTAGGTGCAAATAAGCAGCTTTGGTTGCTTAAGGTTCCTTTAAAGTTGCAGTCCATGAATATGTCAGGTGCGCCAAATTCTACTTTAGCATAATCACTTTCACCTAGGGGCTGCAGTGGAAGCAAACTTTAGACAACGTATACAAATTTGTTTGCAGTTATTCAGTTGATGCAAAAATACAACAATTCATTATTATGGAAAATTAAATAACTTGGCTTCGAATTTAACAATAACATGAAATTCCAAGTCGATGTTTTTCATTAATCAAAACTAAAATGAAATTAACAAATTTGTATCATTAGGTTTTGTAGGTGTCATGTAGGTCTTCTTCAACTCTACCCTCAATTTTTGCATAATCAATCATTTCATAGTTTATAGTTTTATGTTACTTGTTCAGATTCCAATCTTAAGTCTAGATTTCATCTATGAACTGAGATCATTCACACCCAACAGTCTTTCACTATGCTGGCCATGAATGACTGATTTATTGTTCTTATTCCTTAAAATCGCAAAACAGTCACAGGCTCAAAGGAGTTTCATTATTGAAGTTTTAGTAAATAATTGGCAAAGTCATTTATGAAAATAGGATGACATTTTCTAAAAGGTATTATGGTAATAGGCTAGAACATTTATTTTCAAAGATAAGCTTGCAGTCATTTTTTAGAATATAGTTACTTCAATCTCTCTCAATAAGAAACGAAATAATGATCAGGACAAGGGGCTACAATGAAAAATAACAACAACAGCAGCAAAAAACAACTAAGCCTTAGTCCCAAACTAGTTGAGGGGGCTCCAATGAAAGATGCTAAACAAAATATGCAGAGTGGAGTTAGAAGTCAATGGGCAAGCTCATTCTCTCTCTTTCATATAATTAAGCATGCAGCACATTTGCATTCACATTTTAGAGGCAACAAAATAATAATAATAATAATAATACAAAGTTTCCACTTACAGGATATCGCGCATGCAATGGCAGGTCTATGCTGATTTCCTGTTCACTTGTCTGTCCAGTAAAGATAGTAGGAGTGACATTCATGTGAATCTCAACAACAGACCGGTTGGAAGCAACTGAAGGTAATTCTAAATTTGTATCTCCAAAAACAGCTACATCAGTAAAAACTGCAATAACAGTTAGCATAATTTTAACATGAGAAAGAAGAATATGCAATAAAACCAAATCTGAGAATGTTGAGAAGCAGAAAAATATTACCTCCACGATGGAGAAGGTGTTGGAGCTCAAACGGGTCAGCGAAGACTCCAGAGGGAAGTCTCTCTATAATTATAATTTTACAAAAGTGAGTGGATAGCTGAGATGTTGATTCTGACTGGAAGTGAAGTCTGATACTTGAATGAAGACGACGATGAGAACCTTCACCAACCAAAAGGCGATTTAAAACTGATTCTCTTAAAAGCGCATCCAGATTATCTGGAAGCAATTTACATGAGAAAAGTTCATCTTTGGTAAAATCTTGAAAATTTGATTCTGAAAAGCTTTCATATTTTTCAAAATAAGATTTCACAATGTATTTCTTGGAACTACAAAAGCTGCTGATATCTAAGTTGTTGGACCCCGAATTCAGCTCACATCTAGCCACCTAAAAATGAAAGATGACCGTGAGACTCAAATGTTGCAAAATTTTTGTAAAGATGGCAACATAACATTTAGGTACGAGTTAGATTTTGATCTTAGTAACAAGCATCATCAAAACTGCGAGCATATAAAAACTTTTAAGCATGTTATGCATAAATTATTTCCATGAGATTTATTGCATGTAATTTTCTGTTAGTCATCCACTGCTAAACTTACAGAGATCAATCTCACAAAAAAACTCAGAAGCTTGTGACAAGCCTAAATTTGGTGTGTTTCCAATGAAACTTTGATATAATATGTAAAGGATGATACACATGTAGTCTAAATGTTTATTAGTGTCATTAACTTCCAAGACAAAATAGTATTTAATTTACATAAAAATTATATGTAGCAAGAAGAAGACAGGCTAAAACTACCATAATTTTAAAGTCCAAGACATGCAAAACTACTTCCTTGCCCAAAGCAAGAGTAGACAGTACTAACACAGGATATCTTGTTTCCTCTTCTCTATTCATTTGTCTTTATGTCCCTCCATCTTTTATCCCTCTCTTAGAAATAGCCTAATTAGATCAAAATGGCTTGATAAAGACATAAAAATGCAACTTTCATGAAACCAGAATAAGCTACATTATCCAGTGACAATTGCTTTAAATTCTAGATTTCTCTTCTATATAATTGTCCAAAAAATCACATCACTACATGGGAATGCATATTAGCCAGTCACTAAACAGGAGACAAAGAAACAAAGAAATAAGCAAAAAAAATTGGTGCCTCAGAAATGCAACTTATGTCTAAGTTTCTGGATAATTACTAACCACCATGCATTCTATAATATTGGCAGCAGGGCATCTGCATTGAATTCAAAGTTGTTAATACAGTAAATATAACACTGAAAGCAGCTGCAGCTGCAGCTGTAACACTGAATTCAAAGAAACAAATAATCGATTTCAGCATCTTTAGTGCATGAGAACTATTTCATCCAACCTCGCTTGAAGATGAAGAACCAAGCATGCAAAGAGCAAAGCCAACAAATAATATCAAAAGGATTCCCGTCTTCTGACAAGTCCGTAATTGAAGATTATTTGCAGTTTCCATACAGTAAAGATGGACCGGGAACTTCTGCTGTTATGTATTGACTTTATCCCCCTTTATTAAAAGAAAAAAAAAAACAGAAAAATTTCCAAGTCCATTAAATGGATGCCATTTTGATCACTATCTGCAAAAAGTTCACAATGTAATGAGAAAAAATCAAAATTACATTTTTGCATTTCTAGTTAATAAAATGTGTATGCTTCTTAATTTAACCAATGTCAGCATCTATTGTTTTTGATGCTTCATGCTATATCAATCTTAAATCAAACGTAAAATAAGCAATTTATTTTGGGTTAATCAGTTCAAATTCATAATCTCAAATTTCTGGAGACAGAATCCAGACCATTCAGCCAAAGCTTAATGGTAAAATAAGCACTTGTTTCTTGAAATATACCATGACAAACACACACATGTTAGCAACTGCACATACTCTTATGTAAGAAAATCGAATAAGTTGAATTTGAAGTATCAGAATATTAGCTGAATTATACACCAGATTACAGTTAAAACTTGCACAACTAAGATTGAAAACTGAAAACTTTGAACAGTTCAATTAAGATAACTAGTCCATTATAATGAAAACTTTCAACACCAGTCAAATTAGATAATTTCAGAACATACTTAAAACTACCAATCCACAACCCAGAAAGTGAAAATGAAAAATCCAGAGAAGGAGCTCTTTTTCTTCATTTTTTTTCTTTTTTTTTATAAAAAAAAGAGAGAAAAACGAAATCCCACATCCCAACCCCAATGACCAATGCTTCCTGTTCTTATCAGACTGTGTTCGAATTATGCAAAATGAAAAATAAGCTAATTAAATCTAAAAGAAAGAGCAGTAGAAAAAAGCTGAATCACTTACAGATGTAAACATGAACAGCACTGGTTCAGACTTGAGAATTGAGAGAGACGGATCAAATCTACGAGAAACCGTTCGTTTCTTGTTCTCACCAGTTTAGAGGTGGGCTTCATGGGCCTCAAACAAAAGCCCATATAAGAGCTTTGTTTCTATTGAAATTATAAAATCTTTTTATGCAATTCCCTCCTCGCGGTTAATATAGAGAGGAGCTTATTCTCATCGGGAATAAAAATCTTACAAGGAGTTTACCTAGAAGAATCAATTTTCCCGCCCAGGAAAATTAACATATTTTCCTAGAAAATTGAAAAGAAAAAGATAAATGAACAGTACATCACCAGCTCATTCATCAGTATCAACTACAGCGATCGGTGGAGGAGGCAGCGGTGGCAATGCAGCTTTGGAAGATTTTCATTTCCCTCCCGATCTCATATCCATTCAAGACCGCAAGGAAGAGGCCATGCTTGGTTTGTTTGTACAACTATCTTTAAATTTTCTTCATTCAGTCATTATGTATTGCTTTATCTTTTGCGGATTTGGATTTTTTCGTGCGCTGCGTTGATAATTTCGTTTCCTTCTTCATGGATTTAGCCTTTTTTGTCCAATTATTGTTTTTTGTGATATGTGTTATAATTAATTTTATAAACAAAATAACAACTTTTTGGTTCTTAAGGGCAAGGCAAAAATGCAAAATTTTAGTTTTGTTTTAGAAAAGAATAAAGTTATGTATTATCCCTTCCTTTAAGAGTTTAGAGGAATCCTGAAAATTTTTATTATGCCTTCCTTTAAGAGTTCAAAGGATTTCTGAAAATTTTCCATCTGCTATATTTCTGCATTTTCTTATGGACTATATAGTTTCTTTGGAAAGTTCTATGTAATTTTAGCAGCATAGGTCCTTATCTGCATCATCTCCGGATTGCCAGCTCCACTTAGAAAATTTAGGACAAGGAAATCCAGAACAGAATTCGAAACTTTGTAGTTCTGTTGATGAATCGTGAAAAGAATTTTCTAGTCAGATAAACATCTCCCTTCGAGAAAAAAGGGTGGAAATAGTTTGAAGAAAAACACTTCTTGAACTTTGATGGTTTAGTCATGTAATTCCAATACAAATGATTACAACAGTACTGGACTAGTAGAGAAATTATTCTCTCGACCTTCAAAAAGTTGTAAAATTTTTCTTCAATACGATTTCTTTTATCCTGCTGAATTGCTAGTTGCTTCATTATCATCTGTAATATTCTACTCAGTGTCTTTTTTTTTTTTTTTTTTTTTTTTTTTTTTTTTTTTTTGAAAATTCTAAGGACAAGGAAATCCAGAACAGAAAATTCGAAACTTTGTAGTTCTGTGATGAATCCGTTTGAAAAGGAATTTTCTAGTCAGATAAACATTCTCCCTTCGAGAAAAAAAGGGTGGGAAAATAGTTTGAAGAAAACACTTCTTTGAACTTTGATGGTTTAGTCAGTAATTCCAATCATAAATGATTACAACATACTGGACTAGTTAGAGAAAAATTATTCTCTCGACCTTCAAAAGTTGTAAAATTTTTCTTTCAATACGTATTCTTTTATCCTGCTGAATTGCTAGTTGCTTCATTATTTCATCTGTAATATTCTAACTCCAGTTCTGTTCTTTTTTTTTTTTTTTTTTTTTTTTTTTTTTTTTTTTTTTTTTTTTTTTTTTTTTTTTTTTTTTCTGAGTTTATTTATGTTTCTGAGTTTTCAATTGGAACTGATGTGGATGATTTCCTTTTATGGTTTTCTGGAGATCATTGTGTTGTTAAAGGGCCTCTTGAATTTATCCTTGCTGCTATTAATAAGCCTTCGATGACTTATTTCTAGTCAAAAGAAAGGAAACAAATGGGTCTTCCTTGTTCTTTGCTTCTAGAAACAAAAATTTGACTCAGAGAGAGGGAAGAATTAGAAAGGGAAAAAAAAAAAAAAAAGATTAATTTGTGATGGAAATCTCTAAAATTCCAGTGTTTTTTATTTGTTTTCACATGCTTACATTTTAGGAATATATTGGAATTTATGCTGTTTTTGAAACTGTGATTGCTTGCTGCCTTGCAGTTCTGAAAGCTGATCTGATGGCTGCACTTAACAAGGAGGTTAAATCCTTGGATGAAGATAACTGGAAGTTTGAAGGACCTCGTTCCCGCATCCACCTCATATCAAGACCTGGTTAGTATCCATCAGTTGCACTAGTTTTTTTAACATACTATTTCCAGCTGTTTGTCCATTTCATTTGATAAGTTAGAACACAATTTTCTTTTAAATCATGTTTTGCAACTGATTAGTCTGTTAGAAGAATATTTAATTTTTCAAAGTGCCATTGATATCAGTATCTGAAATGTGGTTTAAAGTATTGGTGATAGAGGTCTATGCCTCTATTAATTGCGAGAAAGTTTGCAGTGGATCAAGTTCACATGAATTAGAAAATCAATTTTGCATAAGAAAAATTTTTTCTTCTCTCTTTTTGCTTTCCAAGAAAAAGAAATAGAGAAAAGGAAGAAAGAGTTTCTAAAGAAACCGTGTTGTTATATATCTATCACAGGATGAAATGCGAATGCCATAGCATCATATACTATAATGTTTAGACACAGACGTTAGCTGCATATTTTAACAAGAAGTCCGAGTTTGCCAAACGTGACATCATCCTTCATCTTTGTACTTGGCCACAACTGATAAATGTGTTTGAGTGTGCTTTTTCACGTGTCTTAAACTGTTCTTAATTTATTTTTCAAGACCAGGATAAAAAGCCATTTTGAAACGTGGTTCCTGTTGTTACTTCGAATTAAATTGTCTCGTTATATTCAATGTCACATATCTTCACTTACAAGATGTATCTGTATTTGTTGAGTATTAAAGAAGTTATTCAACAGGTTTTTTATGATAACATGTTTGAAAATATGTACCGTAAGACAAATGCCAGCCTCTGGCCCATGAAAGTATCCTTTCTTTTTATGGTGTTACATGTGAATTTCTGAAGAAATCTAGCTGGATAGGAGAGTAGATTCATATTCACAGACTATAATCTTTTTGACATATTAGCACAGCCATTATTGTTTGTTATATTTTTTTTATGAGGAAAATCTTCTGATATAATTCCAATTCAGGTGGATTTCTGAACAAGAAGCTAGAAGTAACAAAAAGTAGGAACTTGGTGCCACCAAAATAATTTGGATTCTTTAGAACAGGTCATATCTTTCACCCTGTACACTCTGATGGATCTGTATTTTGGCTGCTAAAATTTAAAAAGAGTATTGAGTAGCACACATTTAGGTTATAGAATCCTGGATCTGTTACTTGATCATAAAAAATTGTCTTTTCAGTTGTATTGCAACATGAATGATTCTGAAATACCCTGGTAAATCAATTGCTTGAATGACATATATTTTTTATAGTCCCTAAGCAGGATCAATAGCTTACTATGTTAGTTCAGGGGAAAATCAAAAGCTAAAAAAAGAGCTTACTATATGAAATATACACTACACTTAAGTCTATACACACAAATTTCATGTTTTGAAATTAAAAATGAGAGAAATCTGTAACAAGTGAAGAATTTGTATTAATTTGAACAAAACACTTCAAGTAAATTCTTTAACCTTTTGCTTCTTGAAGAACATGATTCGAGGGCTTAACAAGCTTGATTTCAAATCAAAATGTTGATTTGTAATTTGGAGTTTAATGTGCTTAACCTTGAATCGATAATGACTTTAGCTGTAGTAGTATATTACTAGTCATGACTCATGCATGAAGTATTGGAAAATGTTTTTGGAGGGAATTCAGCTTATTAGCATCTTGCATATCAGATGTTAGTACCAACATTATGTATGAACACTTTTAGGTATATTCATATGAATTGTCAAGGAAACAAAATACTGAGAAATCTATGGATTCAGCATAACTAGCTTTAATATTATAATAGTTAATTTTGGTCCCTATTTTGATCATTTGAAATATTTATGACGAATTTTCAAGAATTTCATGGAAAATTATGAAGTTGAATTTTAAATTACAATAAGGAAAAACAATTGGGTATAAATGAATTAAATTGATTTTGATGAATTTTATTATAAATTAAATATGCCTTTTACTTTAGGGTGGTGATATTTCCAGAGTAAAAATTGTTAAATACAGAGCGAGTCATATCCAATATCCTACGACTAGCAAGATATTTTCCGTTTTGGGTCTATTTGGTACGATTTTGTTCTTGGGTCAAAGCCTCTCCTCTAAGCCAAAAATGTTTCTTGTTAGTTTAATGCTTGCTCATTCTTATATACTTCATTTCTATTATGTGCTTAGCTGATGCGAGATTCGTCCAGGATATCACGAATGGAGTAATGTAACCATGAGAATTTCAATATTCAAATTATAATATATTAAATCATAGTATTTTTGCATGTATAGGAGTTTCAATGTGATAATATTATATTTTTATTTTTTTAATTTCGAGCATTTCGATGGAGTAAGGTAGTCATGTAAATTTTAATATTCAGATTATAATATATTAAATCATAGTGTTTTGCACGTACAAGGATTTGAACATGATAATATTATATAATTTTAATGAACCGAAAGTTTTCTAATTAGAATGGAATTAAATTATCCTTAATGACATTTTTAATCAACTAATAAAATACCAATAAAGTTAAAAATTTTCTAATTAGAATAGGATTAAACTATCTTTAATGGTATTTTTAATCAATCAATAAAATTAAAATTCCGAAGAAGAAATTGAAGATTTAATCGTTTCCTATTGCGATTAAATTTCTTCTTTTAACTGTTTTCCTAATTAGATCCGACTAAGTCTATACAAAGGGAATTGGATCTCTGCAAGTCTACACCTTCATTCTCTACAATTTTTGTCTTCTTCATTCTCTCTCTTAAGACTTCAAGATTAAGATTCAAGGAGCACTTTAAGTCATGCGTTAAAAGAGTTTTTAGGATGACTTCTTCTATCTTAAATAATTAATTATTAAATTCTTGAGAAATATCATTAGCAAATTTAGGATCATTTCTTCTATCTTAAATAATTAAAATTAATTATCAAATTAATGGAATAAATTGGCTAGAATTGAGTGAAGTCAAATTACGCAGTACCTTTTTATCCATTAAATATTTTTCATACGTAATTTAATTATTTTATTAATTTTTATAAATCTAGAAAAAACTTAATATTTTCAGATGTGTAAAAGCCAAGTCAATAGATTTAACTGAAGATGTTAAATAAAAAAATATAGAACCAAAATAATACAAAGTTCATATGACAATTAATACTTCTGTTGAGATAACACAAACTCTTTGTAACTAAACCAAAAGATCACTCTGTCAATACATCCACAAAATTATTCTTACTTCTTTTAACAAGACAAAAAGCAACGTGTATTATACATGAAATCAAATAATCAAACATGTTAAATTTTTTTCACCAACAACAGGGTCTATTGTTTGTATTCAACGTCCAACCAATCACATTCTTTTCAAATGCGAAGAAGTGAAGACTTTGATTGCATATAGGATTGCTAATAATTCTGCTCCAATATTGAATTTTTCACTTCAATAATTTTGTTTGATTTCTTTAAGTCAATTTATATTTTCTTTTTAAATTTTCAATTAATTCTCTTAATTGGCATTTAAAGAAATGATGCAACATAAATAGCTTCTATTACGGACTCCGATCCTAATTATCTGAATCTGATATTTCGGTTCCAACACAATCTCTTCTTTTGTATAACTTGTTATTCTTTTTTAATTTCTCCATTATTTGGAATTTTTCACTTGTTATCTTAAAGATTTTCATAAACTTCTGTAACTTAATTTAATTTCCCGAAATCATAAGTGTTTTTATCCTTTAATCTTTCTGTAAAACATTATATATATATAGTTTAGCCTTGAAATTTTTAAATGAGGTATTTTTTACAACATATGAAAGACAAATAATAAGAAAAGTATTTTTTTTTTTCAAATAAAACAAATTAAATTGTTCATTTTCACTCAGAAATTTGATTAATGTATTTGTTCATTTTCTCAAATAAAACTCAATTTTACGTCATAAATTTGGGGGCTGTATTGTCTAAATAAATATTTTATATGTCAAACTAAATTTAAAAGATATATTCAATTTATACTATTAGGTAATACATTAAAAAAAAAAAAAAAAAAGGGAAAAAAAACATTATGAAAGACAAATTAATAAAGAAAAGTATTTTTTTTTTTCAAATAAAGACAAATTAAATTGTTCATTTTGCACTGCAGAAGAGGGTTTGGAATTAATGGGGTATTTGTTCATGTTTTCAAATTTAGGAAACTCAATTTTTACTCATAAGATTTGGCTGTATTGTCTAAATAAATATTTTATGGAGTTCAAGACTAAATTTGAGAAAAGATGGATATTCAATTTATTACTATTAGGTAATACATTAAAAAAAAAAAAAAGAAAAAAAGGAAAAAAAGAAAGGGGACAGATGGCGTCGCAAGAAGCTGAAGCCTAAACCAAAACGCGTAACTGATTAAAAAAAAAAAAAAAAAAAGGGAAAAAAAGGACAGATGGCGTCGCAAGAACTAAGCTAAACCCAAAACCTAACTGATTAAACTGAGTTACCAGAGATTGGCGCCGACGGCACCCTGAAAAGCTCACCTGCCCGTGAATTATGGGATTGTCACAGCAACTTGTTACTTGTTTCATGCCCATGCAAGCACGTGTGCTGTCTCTAAACGCTCTCTAATCCCATTCATATAACTGTCAGATTGATAAGTTCGTTTCTTTCCTATATTTACACACACCATTGCTCTCTCATCTCTCTCTACCTCTTCTTCTTCTTTCTTGTGTTTCTGTAATTTGCATGTATATATAAAAAGAAAGAAACTAGGAACATATATAAAAGAAAGCAACTGTGTAAATGACATTGGTAAGGGAAAGAAGGCATCAACAACCCTTAATGCTATCCTTACCTCCGCCATTACCAGCTGGTGAGTTCCGGCACCAAACCCACCCACCGCCGGCTTCTTTATCTGCTATCAGTCCAGACTCTCCAGGCATTGACAATCTTTCTGATCTTGAAAAAATAACAGTTCTTGGACATGGTAATGGTGGCACTGTCTATAAAGTACGACACAAACGCACCTCCGCTACGTTTGCTTTAAAAGTTCTCCGATTCGATCATAACACCACAGCGACTATCCGCGAACAAGCTTCCCGGGAGGCGGAGATCCTTAAACGTGTCGATTCACCTTATATTGTTCGATGCTATGCGGTGTTTGATACCGAAGATGACTTGTGCTTTGCAATGGAGCACATGGAAAGAGGGTCTTTGCATGATATTTTACTTGCTAGTAAAATATTGCCTGAAAATGTTATTTCTAGGGTGGCTGTTTGTGTTTTAAAAGGCTTGCAATACTTGCATAGAATGAAAATAGTGCACGGAGATATAAAACCTTCAAATTTGCTCATTAATGGTAAAGGCGATGTGAAAATTGCAGATTTTGGGGTTAGTAGGATTGTGGTAGCCAAAGAAGATGCTTGTGAAGCATATATGGGGACATGTGCATATATGAGCCCTGAAAGGCTTGATCTTCAAGGATGGAATGAAGATAACGGAGGTGATGGATTCGCCGGGGATATTTGGTCACTTGGGGTTGTGATTTTGGAGTGCCTTGTTGGTCATTATCCATTGATTGGTATGGGGGAGAAACCAGAATGGGCAGCTTTGGTTTATGCAATATGCTTTGAAGAGAGATTGCAGATGCCGGAAAATGCATCTCCAGAGTTCCAGTGTTTTGTAATTAGGTGTCTAGAAAAAGATTGGAGAAAGAGAATAAGCGTCGATGAACTTCTTGATCATCCTTTTGTCAGTGGTTTTGATTTGTAGGGTCGATAAGTTGCATCTATTCTTAATAATCCCATCAATTTTGCCAGTTTTCTGTGACATAATTATTTTATATTTACAATAGCAGCACTGAACACCAATCAGATGCAAAAAATTTTCAAAATGGTCGAACCATATTTTTCTTCCGTTGAGCGCAATTAACAGTTTCTTCTTGTCTATTTATCTTATAACAGCCTCAATATCTTGGATTAGTACTTCGCCCTCTAATATTCTGTTCCAACTTATAAAATCATGAAAAAAGTAGAGCAACACTTCAACTGTTTTCAACTAGAGATGGACCAACCAAGTTTATCTTTTTTTCCGTTAATTTTGATTCACCAATTTCGCTTCCCCTGGGCTACAAGCCCCAATAGCCCATGAAAGAGTTCATTATGAAGGAAAGAGTAGAATAAATTACCAAATCAAGTTTGAAGTGATGTTATTAGTTTTTAAGCTGGAATTTTAGAAAGAAAAGCTAATCACACGAAGAAGAAGAAAACCATCAAAGACATGCTTTCCATTGATCATCATAATTTTTTATAGATTACATGATTCTGGCATAACACAGCAGAAACTAAAGTATTATAAAATACCCGACGGAAAATTTATAAAATATATGATGGAAAATATAAAGTTACAGAACGCCACAACAAATAAAGTTACAACAATAACATCAAAATTATAGCAACGAGATAAAAAGTTCAACTTACAAAGCAGATAGATACCTGACAAAATATATATAAGTATAATCTTTCTAGCAAAATTGTTGGGTTTGGGTTCCCTTCTTATGTGGTAAAAGCCCATATTTTGAAGTCCGTTAAACTAATTATTATTTTATAATTTTGCCCCTCAACTAACAGCCATATTTATGATATTTTTGGCTGCTATTTGATTGATTCACACAACCGTGTGAGAAAAACAGAAAAGAAGAGGAGAGGAGAGGGATTTTTTCTGTACAGCCCCAACCAGCACTAGCCATCGTGTTCTAGAGATTCCCAGAGTTCCAACCGTTGGATCTTTGTGATATTTGGGTATGTTGTTCTTTACTCTCTGTTCTTGATTCTCACCGAAGGGATTTTGATTTGAGGTCCAGAGATTGAGTTATGGCTCTGAATCCGAAGCTGTCCTGTTTTGTTTCTAGCTCTGCATAGCTTTATCTTCTTCAGCGTTTCGGCAGTCACCCTTCTTTTGTGATATTTGGGGTATGCTGTGTTAACTTTGACTCTCTGTCTTGATTCGTCACCGAAGGGATTGTTGATGTTGGGAGGTTGCCAGAGATTGAGGTTATGGCTCTGAATCCGAAGCTGGTCCTGTTTTGTTTCTAGGGCGTCTGCATAGCTTTGAGTGCTTCTTCAGCGTTTCGCAGTCACCCTTGTGCGGATGAGCGTGGATTTTTGGTAAGGCGATGGGTTCCATAACATCCCAATCTTGATGCTGGATAATGGCAGTTTAAATTCAGTTTAAATTTTGGATGAGTAGAACATTTTTAAATGTATTTAGAACAGTAGCTGTGTTTTGTGATCACTCCATTGTGTTGCTACACATTTGTTTGTGGTTGTTTGTGGTATAGCTACATTTTTGGTGGTTTAGCTTGCTGTAATTTGTAAGATAATATTTGTGATAGTGAACTTTATTTCCTTGGACCGGAGGAGAGGTCTAGTGGTTTTTGGATAAGTAGAACATTTTTAAATGTATTTAGAGCAGTAGCTGTGTTTTGTGATCACTCCATTATGTTGCTACACATTTGTTTGTGGTTGTTTGTGGTATAGCTACATTTTTTGTGGTTGTAGCTTGCTGTAATTTGTAAGACAATATTTGTGATAGTGAACTTTATTTTCTTGGATTGGAGGAGAGGTCCCGTGGTTTTTATCCTTCACACCGGAGGAGTTTTCCACGTAAAAAGATTTGTGTTCGTGTGGTGAATGTTATTTTTGATTGTGCATTTTGGTGTTCGGGGGTTGGGTGAATGTTATGTTGGTTGGGTTGTGCATGATTTGGGGCGAAGCTGTGTGTAGGCTTGAATTGTGACTCATTGGTTTGACTCTTTAATAGATTGCAATTCAAGTGGGAAGTTTTTTTGGTGTTGCTTGAAGTTATTGTTGTGTACTTCTGGCATCACAGTGGGGTATCCAGGAGCTGCGGTTATTTTTGTCGGATTGAGCAGTATTTGCGTTGGTTTGAATGATGGAGGGTTAAATATGAGTAAAATATTTGTGTTGTGGAGCACAAGGACTATCACACTTGAAAGGAAAGATGAAAGAGTCTTTTGTGTTTAAAGGAAGGAAGAAGAAACGGTAAGACATTGTGCCGTATTTCTACTAGTAAGGCCTGGAGTCTAATCTGTATGAAGAATGGGAAGTTTTGAGGCATCAGGCAAGTATGGGTTTTATTAGGCAAGTGGGGAGGATAAAATATAAATCGATATTTGTAGGATGATACAGCATGCTAAAGACTTTGTGGAAGAAGCTAGAATGGCTTTGTTATGCGTTCTAGAACTGTAACAACAAGTTGTTTCTGACTTAAGTACCCATACGCCTGGCCGAGTACAAAAAAAGCCATACGCCTGCAGTACAAAGAAGGGAGCTCAGTACTTGACCATGTAAATGAATTTCAGGGTATCTTTGATCAGTTATCCAGTATGGGTGTCAAGTTTGAAGCCATACGCCTGCAGTACAAAGAAGGGAGCTCAGTACTTGACCATGTAAATGAATTTCAGGGTATCTTTGATCAGTTATCCAATATGGGTGTCAGATTTGATGAGGATATTATGGGATTTTGGTTGTTGAATACACTTCCTAACTCTTGGGAAAACTTCAGGGTATCTTTGACAAAATCTGCGCCTGATGGTGTTGTAACTATGCAGTATGTGAAGAGTGGTGTTCTGAATGAAGAAGTAAGAAGGAGAACTCAGGGTGCTTCCACATCACAGTCAGATATTTTATTTACTGAAAACAGAGGGAGAAGCAAAAGTAGAAGTCATGATCACAACAGTAGAAGCAAGAGTAGGAGTAAATCATAGTCAAGGTATAAGGACCTTGAATGTCATTATTGTGGTAAATCTGGGCATATTAAATGGTACTGTTACAAGTGGAAAAAGGATAACAAACGCAATAAAGGTAAGCAAGAAAAGAATGGTAATGATGAAAATGGTGATCGTGTCAGTGTTGCTACTTCAATTGATTTGGCTATTGTTCATGATGGAAGTATGATTAATGTTGCCAGCAATGAGGTTCTTTGGGTACTTGATAGTGGAGCTACACACCATGTTGCTTCAAAGAGAGGATTCTTCACATCTTACACTCCTGGTGATTTTGGAATTTTACTGATGGGAAATGAATCTGTATCCAGAGTAGTGGGCATTGGCAATGTAACTGTGGTGACTAACCTTGGTATGAAGTTGATACTTAAGAATGTTAAACATGCGCCAGATGTGAGGTTGAATTTGATATCCTGTGAAACTTTATATCATTATGGATATGACACCAATTTGTTTAATCATGGCATTGTTTATACAGGCTCTTTGGTGGTGGCTAAAGGGTTTAGAGGTTCAGGTTTGTGTTGGCTGACAGCGTTTTTCGCAAGTGTACGAAATCGCAACAAGTAGTATAGAGTAAGAAAGTATCGTATCCACAGGGATTGTTTATCAGAATTAATGGCAGCAAGAGAGTTGAGTCACATCAGTGAAAGGGTCTGAATATTTCTAACTAAAGAAGAATTTGGCTTTCGTGGTTTGCAAGGTTGGAGAGTTAGACACTTGTGAGCATTGTTTTGGGCCAGAAAACCAGAAAACGGGTCCTGCCTTTTAACATCATCCTCCTTCTAAGAAAAGAAGAGTTTGTTAAGCTAGTACACTCAAGATGTTTGTAGTCTTTGAAGGATAAGTCGACTTGTGGTGCAACAAGTACTTTGTGACCTTTTATTGACTGATCAACTCAAGAAAGCTTTTTTGGTTCGTCGTGTTAAGTCCAAAGGAAATCAGGTACTACTCTTCTCGGTGCATTTAGAGAATTTCACACTTATGCTGAGAAGAAACAGGTAAAAAAGTTGAAATGTGTTTCGTACTGAATAATGGAGGTTGAATATTTGTGGGCCCATTTGATTCTTATTGTCGAGAAGCAAAAATGGTATCAGACATCAGAAGACCCTCCCAAGAACTCCATAGTTTGATGGCTTGGCAGAAAGGTATGAACAAGAACTTTGATGGAGAGAGTTAGATGTGTTGCTTGTCAGATGCAAAACTACCTAATTCCTTTTGGGGTGAAGGCATTGTTATGCCAGTTGCCCAATGCATCAATCTACTCCTAACCGTCGCTTTGTATAATGATGTTTCCCTGATAGTTTTTGGTACGGTAAGAAGCCTTTTTATGATCATACTATCGGGTATTTGGGTGCAAATGTTTTGTTCATGTTCCTAAAGAGAAAGGTTCCAAGCTAGATGCCAAAGACAATACAATGATCTTCAAATTGGCTAATGGTCAAGATGAGTTTGGCTATAGGTTAGTGATCCTAATTTGAGAAGAAAGTTTACAGAAGCACGTGATGTGGTCTTTATTGAATATCAAACTTCGTGGAATGATATTGGTAAAGTGGAGAAAATCAAACCTCAGAATAACATCTTGGTTGATGGTAGATCCAGTTTCGTCAGCTTCAACCCTGTTGCGCAGTTGATGTTAGAAATCAAGTTGATCTTCAGGATAAATACTGAAGAGGCAGATGAGGTTGAATATTCCTGTAGATTGATGCAAATGATGATCAGTATGGAGAACACTTTGGTGGACAACAAGAGGCTCCAGTCAGAAGGTCTACCAGAAATCTATTCCATCTACACCAAGGTATTGCCTCCTAGTGAGTAATGTATTTTGACAAGATGTAGATGACCAGAATACACCAAGAAGCTGTTGAGAGTGAGGAAAAGAACAAAAAATGGAATTATTGCTGTGAAAGATGAAAATGCAATCCCTTATATGATAATGATACTGTTTGAACTGGTGAAGCTTCCTAAAGATAGAAAAGCCTTGAGAATAAGGTGGATCTATAGGTGAAGCATGAAAGAGAATTCATCATCCCACGGTATAAAAGCGAGATTAGTTGTCAAGGGCTTTCAGTTTAGAGAGGGGGATT